AAAAAAAAAAAAAAAAAAAAAAAAAAAAAAAAAAAAAAAGCAAAGCAGAATGCCTAAAAGAAGCAAGAGTCTCACTCACTGGAAGTATTCTAGATTTGTCTTTATGGATAACCTCACTTCATGCAACATCAGTCTAACTCTGATATGTTTCCTTTTCCTCCTCATTCTTTAAGCCATCTACTCCTGATATCTTTTTAGGACTTCAGCTCTTCATATTCTACAAAATCTCAAGTTCTTCCTCTCTGTAGCATTTGATCAAAGATGCATTACTTTCTATACAGTATATATTCTTTATTGTGATCATCACTATACATCAATAGCTGGGATGAAATCCAGAGCATCTAGTGTTGATTATCTTATTACTTTTATTTAAATCTCCTTCAAGATTATCCAGTCCAACTATTCACCTACCACCAGTATTTCGACACTAAACCATTTTCCAAAGTACACCTAAACATTTCTTTAACACCTCTGGGGGCAGTGACTCAACAACCTCCTGTCTCGCTCCAATTTATAGGAGGGAGATGAGGTTCTTTTAATATCTGTATACCCGGTGTGAGATTAAGAAACAATGGTTCATGTGTTGTTGCATCCAGTTTATTACCAAACCTAATCAGGGAGACGGGGAAGGGAAGGAGGGCGATAGAAAAGATGGAAAAGGAGCAGGAGTTGCGTAAAGCGGGGATAGTCACCAGCAGGATCCAGCAGCGGTCCCGTTGCACGGTGTTTGAAGGTCCCGGGCAGAACGCAGCAGAAGACGGGGAGCAGCAGCGTGGCCGGCCCTGGGCAGCAGGCAGGTAGACGAGGAAGTCGAGGAGCCAATCCTTGAAGCAGCAACAGCGGTCAGGCAGCAGGCTCAGGAGAGTTCAACAGTATGCAGGAATCACCTCAATCTTCAGGAATCCCTCTTCTTCTTCATGAGGAATCTGTTGTCAGAAAACCTATCCTCATGATTTTCTTTTCCTCTTTTATCCTCCTTGTTCTCCTGCCTGTGACAAGGATCGGCCTTGAGCAAGAGTCGTTGAGTACACCCTGAGATGGTCATCATCCTGAGATAAGTCCACACAAAGGAGCACTTCACAGCTATTTAGCTGCAGCTCATCTCGCTCTTGTTGCCCCTGGCCTTGCCCATCTGCATCCCCCAGACAAAAGATCTCACAACCTTTGCCCAGGACTTGCCTGGACTTGTTCATCTGTGTCCTTCAGACAGAGGATTTCACAATCCTTGCTCGGGACTTGAATAAGTCCATCTGTGTCCCCAGCAAGCTTTGAGACACAGTCGTTAACAGAATAATCTCTTACAGAGTAATATCTTACACCTCCCTGGACAACCTGTTGCAATTCCTAACCACTCTTTCAAAGAAACTTTGCCATCATCCCACTTCATTTTCTCTTGTACAGTTTGAGGCCATTCCCTCTAGTCCTGTCACTAGTTATGCAGAAGAGGCCAACCCCCATCTCGCTACAACCTTCTTTCCTGTAGCTGTAGTGAGCAATCAGGTCTTCCCTGAGCCTCCTCTTCTCCAGTCTAAACAATCCCAGTTCCTACAGATGCTCCTCATAAGACTTGTGCTTCAGACTCCTTGTCAGCTTCACAGCTTTTTCCTGGACATGCTCCAGGGCCTCAGTGTCTTTCCTATAGCAAGGGGCCCAAAACTGAACACAGTACTTGAGGTGTAGTCTCAGCAGAGTTAAGTACAAAGGGAAACTCAGTAAAAAAAAAAACAAAAAAAAACTCTACAGAATCTCCTTATAAAGATAAGATGTATTTGTTATTTTTGGAAATAACTTTCTTCCTCTTGACCTAAATGAAACGACAAAATTTTAAATACTAATTTGAAGCATAAGTACATATTGGATTATTATTAACTCACATTTTTCTAAACCCTGTTCTTAGAAATCTGGTCTTGCTAATATTTAGTCTCAGTCTACCCTCTTCCAGTTTAAAGCCATTTTCCCTCATCCTGTCAGTACATGCCCTTATAAATAGTCCCTCCTCTGGTCCAACAGCTCCATGTCCTTGTGTTGGGGATTCCAGAACTCCAGGGAGGTCTCGTGAGAAGGGAATAGAAGGGCAGAATTGCTTATGCGTGTGACTCTTATCTTGATGCAATCCAGGGTATGGCTGGCTGCCCGGGCTGCAAGTGTACCTTGCCAGCTCATGTTGAATCTTTCATCAATTAACACTTTCAAATCCTTTTCCTCAGGGCTACTCTAAGCCATTCTCCAATCAACCTGTACCTGTGCTTGAGACTGCCCTGACCCAGATGCAGGATCTTGAACTTGGCCTTGCTGAAGTTCATGAGGTTGTCATAGGACCACCTCTCAAGCCTTTTCAGTTGCCTCAGGATAATATCCCTTACCCCTAGCGTGTCAACTGCACCACTCAATTTGATGTCATCTGCAAAATTGCTGAGGATGCACTCAGTCCCATGTCACCTACAAAGATGTTAACTGTAGGATCTTCTAGAACAAAAAGCTACTTACCGAACAGTAGATGTTGTTTCTCCACATTATCTACAGCAGTAGAAACCCACATTTTTGTTTTTGTTTGTATTCGGTTTAGGTAAGATGAGTGTGTTGCTTGAATAGTTTTCCTGAAAGAAAAACAGTAGACAGAGCAGAAAATTCTGGGGGTCATCAGAAAGACAGTATTGCATTGACAACTAGATGGTAGTGATGGTACTCGATTTGTGAAACAGTGTATTTACCTCAGCTGCATGTCTGAATTTTGACTTAAGGCACCAAATCTCACATTTTCACTACCTACAAATTTACTTTAATAGTTATTATTCCTAATCCTATCCTTCTACAAACAAAATGAATGGTGGAGTCATAGAAATGTCAAGACAAACATCAGAATCACTATGCCATCAAGATGTTAAGTAAAAACAGGGAAGGGGAGAAAGTGGAAATAAAAATACACAAAATCTGAATACAATGAGCAACATAGAGAGGAACCCATTGAAAAACTGACTACAACTAACAAAATGCTAACAAACTCAAAAAAACAAAAGCAAAACAAAACAAAGCAAAACAAAACTATAGACATATGTAATTCTACTAACATTGTCTTTGCTTGGAAGAAAAGAAAATGACAAATTAATGTTAAATTAATGTTAAATAGTTGTATACATAGCCAGCATAGTCTTGACCTGCTCCTTCATTCTTCTACGGTGAGTGACTGAAAATAAGGAATGCAAAAGAGCTGTATACTGCTCTTACACTAGGGAATTTTCTTTTGTATAATCAAAGAATATTAGGATGTTATAATCACAAAATAAACAAGAGAGTTAGGCAAAGCAGACTATTACAACAAAAGAGAATAAATAGAAGGCTTACCCCTATCCTGGGCTAACTCACAAAACACCAGCAGAGGCAATCTCCAGAAAAGATCCTTCCCCACTGGTAGCCAGCTCTTCAATAGGTCTAGGAGAGGTGGAGCCTGGCTCTACCCCTTCCGGCAGCACAGGTAAATTGCCTTCACCTGTGCTCCTCTGGCTGACTCATTGCTTGCTTCAGGTGATCAATCAGAGATTCAGGCTGTGACTCAGCAGTTCCCATACATCTTTTGATGTTTCTTTTGCTGAAGATTTTAGCCTAAAGGTTTCAGTAGATACAATGCATATGCAAGTCATCTGATCACGTTGGTATGTCTGACAGGAAGCTGTAGTGTAGGTAGCATTTTCAGTACAAACCTTCTTTGAAGCCAGTTAGGTATCACAATGTATCAGCTATGCAGTACTCCAGAAATAGCATCTGCACATTTGTATGATTTCATGGTTGAGAAAAACATTTTATGTTTATTGTCTTAGGAAATCCCAAATTAACTGCATATGCTTTTTTTTTTTTTTTTTTTTTTTTTTTTTCCATTTTGAGCTGCGTTCTAACGTTACCCTCAATTGCTGCAGTTAGAAAGCAATACAGTCTGAAGAAATTGTGAATTAATATTCAGAAGACAGTGATGCATTTCCGTGTTTCACAGTTTTCATATTGTTTGTTGATTTACTGAATAACTTCCAAATATAAAATAAAAAGGACCAATAATACAATTGTCTATTAGCTTTTGATAAAAAAGATGACTATGGTCTTTCAAACAGTTTAATCTTTGCCAAATATTTTCTTTCTTTTGCCCTAGAAGTAGAAATATAAAGAAAACGGTTTAGAATATAACATATAATAAGTGAATAAGTAATAGTTTGTCATTTAAATAAATGACCCTCTCCATTATAACCTATTAATTTAAATGTCATTAAATAATTAAACAGAAGGAACGAAAATGAGTGGTGGAGTGATGAAGGAATGGAAGGAAGGACACTACCTTACTTGTACCATGATTTATGTTCTAAACTACAGTACAATACTGTCACTGTTTTTCGAGCTGCTTTGGCCCGGTTATGTGGCTAGTGGGGGGAGGGAACCCATGGACCCACACTCTGGGAAAGGGAAAAGGGGAGAAGGGTAGAGAGATGGGCCTAAAATGAAATAGCAGCAATGATCTGAGGAGAAACAAATATTTTTAAAACTAAAAAAAGATATTGGAATGCAAGATAACATACTATAATATAGTATAATGCAATTGAAGATAGTAAATCAAATAAAATGAGATTGTCTGAAAACCAAAGGCTTCGTCTAAGTAAGCTGAGGCAATATGACACCCACAACAGAGATGAGCTGGAAGTTCTAAAGGGGCATCTTGTGATCTGTGAACTGTTTTTATCTTTTCCCTCTGAGCAGAAAATGGTAGCAGAACAGCAAACAGTCCTCTGGGAGATGTAGTTCTTCTCTTCTAGGACAAATACCCAGAACTATCCACAATCCATGGAACTGAAGCATTAACTCTTTAACTCCGAGTGCACTACGTGAGGTTATAATGTGGAATACTGATAACAAAAAATCATAGAACCATTACAAGTAATGTTTAATATTGTAGAATTTGATCATCCTTTCCTGACAATTTACGAAAATCATGCAATGAAATCATAGTTGCTTTTAGTCTTTGTAAATCCAATTATATTATAGAAAATCTGGACAAATAAATATTTTAAAATTTCTTTGTTAATTGCAAAACAGGACAGGGGGGAGGAATATCTTGATTCTTTTGATTTTCTGGAAATAAAGCATAGCTAAGAGTAGACTGCTGTCATTGCATGTACTTCAACCAATTTGTCTTCTGGATTTTTTCCTTAAGACAAATGATCATTAACCACATTAATATTCAGTGCTGTTTTTTCACAGAGCAGATGTTTATATGCATGCTTCATTGCACTGTGAACAATGTGAAAAATGCAATTGCTTTTTTGTTATGGAAATGCTTTGTATGAACAAATCTATATACATAACATTCTCCCAAATTTTACCAGAACGATCTGACTCACAGGTGATAACATTTGCTAACTTAATTCTGTCACCAGTCCATCTGCATCCATGTCACCAAATTCATCTTAGGAATCTACTATTTTCTGTTGATAACTAGGACTCCACAGCAAAGTGAATTTCTAGGCCTCAAGGTGTTTCTTACATCTTTACTTACTCAGAAGTTTTCTACTTTTTATTTTGTACAAAGTCTTTCCTTTATTAGCTTAGTATTTTTCTTAGGAAGTGGAAAAAAAATTACAATTCATCTCAATTTAAAGCAGACTGCTATTCAGGTCAGATGAATGACGGTAGCTTAAAGTCTGGTTGTTGTTTTTTTTTTTTCCTTTGACTAGCAAAACCAACTATATTGGAAGTAGATGTGAAGACGGGTACAGATGTGGACAGGTTATCTTCTACTTTTAAGTCTTACTTTACTGCTAGATATCTGGTAGAAGTAATCAAGCAAATTAAAATAAGTAAATGCTCTGAAAATTAAAAGAAAAAGAAGTTAAGATTTTCCTTTATCGTATGTTAAGATTTAGTTTTGAAATAATACCTGTGGCTTATAATGTACTATGTCAAAAAAGAAACTCCCTTGCAAAGCACGTTATGTACTATTCTGTTACATCAACTCAGCATGCACTGGTCTTCAACTATAACAGTGCCACTTATATTCCTGCAGAATCTCAGAAACACTCACAAAGCCATCTCTGCAGGAAACCGTATTTCATTTTTTGACAAGCTGGCAGTGTGTACCTAGACAAGATACTCTTCTGTAAGTACTGTGGGAAATTGATGAATGTATGTATACAAAAAGAGTAGCATGCTGATTTGCACGTTCTCAGCTAAGATGTGAAAACACCTGCAACAAAGATTAACTAAATGTGACTTACACATAATGCTTGTTGCATTTCTGAATTAGATTGAAGTACAAATATGCATTTTGTATGGCTGATAGGTACATTTCTACAGAATAAAGTCTCTTGTATTCTTGTACAAGATTTCCCTTTGGTAAAAATGAAACTAGTGGAGATGGTAATTAGGGCAAGGTTTCACAACATGAGGTACAACACCTAAGTGAAGAAATAAATTTCAATTCCCGAGATAGAATTAATATGTACACAAGTCTTGGAGGTAGGAAATGCACTGTTCTTCTAATGTGAAAGTTACTAAGAAAAAAGAATCATAGAATCATAGAGTGTCTTGGGTTGGAAGGGACCTCAAGGGCATCAAGCTCCAACTCCCCTGCCTCCATGCAGGCTCATCAACCTTCATATCTAATACTAGACCGGGCTGCCCAGGGCCCCATCCAACCTAAAACAGATGCTTTAATATATATTACAATTTCTGAATCCTGATCTCTGTTGAAAATACCATTGTTATTTATAATCAGTTATCCATTTCTATATTATTCAGTTATGTCATATCTGAGAACAAATTTTTAAATGAGAATTTTACCTTTCATGCCTTCTTTTTCACTGAAGAGCAAATGAGCTGGTAGAATATATTCTTAAAGGACATTTTGACTCTTTGTGTAACATACTCATGCATGATACACAGGTAGTAGGCCTGATTAAAAAATGATATTGTAAATGTTGGTCCTGCAAACTTTGAATGATATAATTAAAAAAAAAAAAAAAAAAAAAAAAAGAGAAATTATTTAATTTTATGAATGTTATGAATGGACATTTTCAGTTTTTTGATGTGTCATGTTGAAGTGATTTAAGAGGAAGATTGGAAAGGGATGCTGCAGATTGCTGAGTCAGGATAGGAAATCATGGCAGATATTCTTGTGAAGGTGTCAGTACTTACCCAGAGCACATACTTAATAAGCTTGAGTTTTCAGTGAAGATTATCAGCAAATAAATGGATTTGTAAAAGCAGTTCAGGGAACAGAATATTTTATCTTTGGTCTAGAGGAGATGTAATAAAGAGGGAAAAAAAAATCCTCAAACTGTCATTAGAGCTAGATTTCAAAGGTGTAGTTGACAACAGTTTGCAGATGAGCTGCACCTTAATGCTTTACAATTCCATGCTCTTGTATTTAGGGATGTAGAAATCATATCCCAGTATGACTGTTCAATCTTTTTTTTTTTTTTTTTTTTTTTTGAGTGACATAAAATTACGTAAGTATTCTTTACCATTTACCTCTCCATCCAGAATCAACAATGTGTTTTTTATCATAGAATCATAGAATCACGAGGTTGGAAACGATCTACAAGATCATCCAGTCCAACCGTCTCCTCATCACCATTGCCACCACAAGCACTAAACCATATCATGCAGCACGTCATCCAGACGCCTCCTGAACACTGCCAGGGACGGCAACTCCACCACCTCCCTGGGCAGCCATTCCAGTGCCTGACCACTTTCTGAGAGAAAAAGTTCTTCCTTATGTCTAATCTAAATCTCCTCTGATACAACTTGCAGCCATTGCCCCGTGTCCTGCTCATTGCCTGGGAGAAGAGGAAAATCCCTCTTCACCACAACCTCCCTTCAGGAAGTTGTAGAGTGCAATGAGGTCTCCCCTGAGCCTCCTCTTCTCCAGACTGAACAATCCCAGTTCCCTCAGCCGCTCCTCATAAGACTTGTGCTCCAGACCCCTCACCAGTTTTGTTGCCCTTCTCTGGACACGCTCCAGGACCTCAACATCTTTTCTGTAGTGAGGAGCCCAAAACTGAACACGGAACTCGAGGTGTGGCCTCACCAGTGCTGAGTAGAGGGGGATGATCACCTCCCTGCTCCTACTGGCCACACTATTTCTAATGCAGGCCAGGATGCTGTTGGCCCTCTTGGCCACCTGGGCACACTGCCGGCTCACGTTCAGCTGAGCATCAACCAACACCCCCGGTCCTTCTCTTCTTCACACTCAACCAGCCACTCATCCCCAAGCCTATAACGCTGCATGGGGTTGTTGTGCCCAAAGTGCAGACCCAACACTTGGCCTTGTTGAACCTCATCCCATTCGTGTCAGCCCAGCGGTCCAGCCTGTCTAAATCCCTCTGAAGGGCCTCCCTACT